ACCCTCTTCTGGCCTCCACAGGCACTCTACACACATGGTGCAGAGAAATGTGGATAAAACACCAAAACATAAAAATAAAGAATACAACCTTTACAAAAAAATAAAATCAGTGAAAGTTGAGTATGGAAATATCAAACAAAAGTAATATAAAGTATGAATATAAAGTATGAATTGGCCCATAAGTGTGCGTGTGCGTGCATGTGTGTGTGTGTGTGTGTGTGTGTGTGTGTGTGTGTGTAAATGCTTAGTCAGAGTAGCACTGCTTGAGAAGGACTAGGAGGTATTGCCTTGTTGAAGAAGGTGTGTCTTTGTTGGAGGAAGTGTGTTACTCATTGCCATAGGAGACAACTTTCTAAACAAAACACCATTAGCACAGGCACAATTAATAAATTAAGATCAACTGCCACGGACCGGCCCAGTCGGGCTCCCATCGTCCGAGGGACAACAAGGCTTTGGACAGGAAGATACGGTTTTGGCGAAGAATTGACAAACAGAGACACCTTGATGGTTTTGACTCTGCTGCAACTTTACTGAAATCAAGCTAGTATTTTTATACAAAAGGCACCTTAAAATTGGCATACTTCCCAGAACATTCAGACTTTTTACCAAGAATACAAAGTTTACATTTTAACTCAAAATGCAGTCAAACATAAAGCAGTGCCCACAAGAAATCTTGGCCTAAAAACTTTTTGATCAGAGCAAACAAAGGAAAAGAAACCTCAAATATAGTTTCATTATTGCTAACCAGTGAAGAGGAAAGTCAGGAGCTAAGTCAAATGCCTGCCAAAGTCCCTCTCTATATCAAAATCTAACTACACCTTTGTTAACCATCCTCCCGTATGTCCTGCTTAAGATTTATATAATCTTCCCTAGGAACAAGGCACTGGAGGGGAAACTCCCACCAGCTGCACCTCTCATGCTATTATTTCTTAAGAAGGAGCCTATTATTTTTTTACTATTCTTAATGCCTATTAATACTAAATCTAATTCATTACCTTTCTTAAACTTATTATTTTTATTAAAGCCTTTAACAATCTACTAATGATAAATTTCTTTATAAAATTAGTTGTGCTGTTTCAGGAGTCACAGAGAAAGATCAAAGAATTCATTATTCCAGCCCCAGAGCCACAACTGAAGAAGCGTAGAAATCTCAGAACACGTCTCTTTTCCAAGTGGGATGAGTTTGCCAGGGACCTTCCAGGGGGCGAATTTCGGGAGAAAGCATATCCCCCACCTTGTAGCTTATGCTACTATGGCGACACTGGTGTGGGTGTTGGCAATCAACAATTAATAAATTAAACCTCATGGGACCCAGGGTACGATAATCAATCCTCACTTAGAAAGATAAATGGGATGGACATTGGATGTAGGAGCAAACAAATAACAGGACAGGAGCCTACCACAGAGGGCCTCTGAAAGACTCTACCTACCAGTGTGTCAAAGCAGATATTAAGACTTATAACCAAACCTTCGGCAGAGTGCAGGAAATCATAAAAAGGGGCGGGGGAGGAGTTAATATGACCTGAAGAGGATAGGAGTTCCACAAGGACCAAATTTATCTGGGCACAGGGGTCTTTTATGAGATTGTTTCTCCAAACAAGGACCATATATGGATACAACCTAGAACCTCTGCTCAGATGTAGCCCTTTGTAGCTCAGTACCCAAATGGAACCCTAATAAGGGGAACAGGGACTGTTTCTGACATGAACTCAATGGTGGGCTCCTCCTCAAGGGAGGAACAGCCCTGTTAGGCCACAGAGGAGGACTTTGCAGCCAGTCCTGAAGATACCTGATAAACCAGTATCAGATGAAAGGGGAGAAGGTTCTCCCCTCTCAGTGGATTTGGAAAAGGGCAGGGAGGAGATGAGGAAGGGAAGGTGGGATTGGGAAGGAAAGAGGAAGCGGGATACAGCAGGGATACAAAGTTAGCAAACTGTAACTAATATTAAAAAAATAAAAATTTTAAAAAAATTAAATCTCATGAAACTGAAAAGCTTCCATAAGGCAAAGGAAAATGTCATTTGGACAAAGTGGCAGCCTACAAAGTGGGAAAAGATTTTTACCAACTCCACATCTGTTAGAGGGCTAACATCCAAAATACATAAAGAACTTAAACCAGATATCCAAAACTATATAACCCAATTAAAACTGAGTTACAGATCTAAACAGAGAATTATCAATAGAAGAAACTCAAATGGTTGAAAAACTCTTAAAGAAATGTTTAACATCCTTAGCCATCAGGGAAATACAAATCATAACTACTTTGAAATTTCATCTTACACCTGATACTGGATGTGGAATAAGGGGAGTGCTCCTCCATGGCTGATTGGAGAACAAACTTATACAGCCATTATGGACATCAGTGTGACAGTTTCTCAAAATGACAGGAATCCATGTACCTCAAGATTTATTTATACCACTCTTGGACCCATACCCAAAGAAGACTCAACCATCTTCACTGCTACTCTATCCAGAATAACCAGAAACTGGAAGCAGCCTAGATGTCTCTCAACAGAAGAATGGATAAAGAAAATGTGATATATTTACACAGTAGAATATTACTCAACTATTTTAAAAAATGAATTTGTAGGCAAATGAATATAACTAGAAAAAAATTCTAAATGAGATAACCCAGATCCAGACAATAAATATATATAGTCACTTATATATGAATATTAGCTGTAAAGTAAATGATAATCAAGCTACAATCCATAGACGTGGAGAGGTTGTGGTGGTCGGGGAGATGACAAATGGATCTCTTGACTGGGGGGGAAGGGGCAGGGAATAGAAAAGATTTATGGGTGGACTGGAAATGGAGAAAATAGAGAGACACACAACTAAAATTGGCATCTCTCCATTTGAGAGACAGTATGGAAACCTGGTGCAGTGGAAACTTTCTAAAATATATGAAGGTGATCCTGATGAAGTCTCTAAGTAATGAGGGAGACAGAGTCTCAACTGTCCATCTCTTGTCACTAAATAAAACTTCCAGGACTGGGTGACAGCCAAGTGAGATGCTGACCAAACGGATCTAATGGAAATCCCTAAATAACCTAGACTGCCAAGACAAACTGCTCTCCACAAACTGACAGTAAGGCACCATTGCTGAAGACAATACCCACACAACTTACTGAACATGGAGAGATCAAGTTGGTCTCAACAGCTTAGAGCCTCCACCCCTAAGTTCTAGTGTCTTTTGTATGGAAAGGTACTCTGTTGGTTACCAAGAAAGAAACTTAAAAACCAACTGAGCCACAAAACTACTGATCTACAATGTTATACTGCCTGCAAAATATTCTAAGATAAAGGTGGCACAAAGCTAGTGGGAGTAACTAGCCAACAGCTGATTTAACTGAAGGCCCACTCCATGAAATGTAACCAAGAACCAGAGACTAGATAGAACAAAGACATAAGATAAAAACCAAATACTACTGGTCTTAAAGAAAAAAAAAGTATAGTGATAAAATTACTCCTAATGATATTCTGCTATACTCATAGACCAATGCCTTATTCAGCCATCATCAGAGAGGCATCCTCCTACATCAGATGGGAACAAATACAGAGACCCACAGACAGACATTATACAAAGAGAAAGAGACTCCTCTGACCTCAGGGAATCCCATGAACAGGAAGCATAAAGAGTGTAAGAGCCAGAGGGGATGGAGGACACCAGAAAACAAGACACTCTAAATCAACTGAACAAAGCTCATATGAACTCATAGAGACTGAAGTAGCAAGCACAGGCCCTGCATAGGTCGGCATTAGGTCCTCTGAGTATATGTTATAGCTTCCAGTATTTTTATGGGATTCCCAAGTGTTTGAATGAGTAGGTCTCTTACTCTTGTGCCTTCTCTTGGGCTCTTTTCCTTCTGTTGGTTTGACTTGTCCAACTTTGATATCATGGGTTTTGTTGTATCTTAATATATTTTATTTTGTCATGCTTTGTTGTTTTTCTCTTAGAAGTCTGTTCTTTTGTAATGAGAGACAGAAAGGGACTAGATTCTGATGGCACAAGGTGATGAGAAGGAACTGGAAGAAGTAGAGGGAGAGGAAACTGTAATCAGGATATAGTGTATGAGAAAAAAATCTATTCTCAATAAAAGGGGAAATTACATCTATTAGTGTGTATTTTGTGATTTGTGTGTGCACATGTGTGTAGGCACAAACATTTTGTGTGCATGTGAACATCAAAGGACAACTTGCAGGAATCTTCCACAATGTGAATCTAGGAAATCAAAATCAGATAGTCAGGCTTGACGGCAGGTGCTTTTACTTGCTGAGCTCTCTTACAAGCCCTGAAGTATTTTTATTTAATACATATGTTACATTATTTATGAGGTGTTATTTGTGTGTGCTTCAGGGTCTCCAAGACTGTTTCCCATTCCACTGACTCTGTGTGAACACTCACTGCAAGAAACCTACTTTCACAAACCCTGAGAAGACAGACAGGACCTGAATACCCAACTGCACAGAGAGTAAAGAAAAGGAAACCCCACACCTGTTCTTGAGTGGGGATGGTAGAACCAAGCTCGAGAACACCCACCAACAGAGCAATGAGGAAAATCCCTTCAAATCCTGGCTACATCATGGAAGTTTGAGTAAGTGTTCCTATGAGGTTCCACCTGCTAGCAATCTGGAAAATGCTTTGTAGTTCAGTCCCAAAGAAGAGGCCATATCTGAAGCTTGTAGAAACTCTCAAGACCTCTATCCTTTGCATAGTAGTAGTTTCTTTTCTAGAACTTTCCTTCCAAGCAACCTTGTTCTTTGTAGAAATGTACATTCTTTTGGCTCATTCTGTCATAGTTCCCCAATGTATCACAAGTAACCAGTTGTATTGAGAAATCTAAACTATATTTTAAGGATACACTTGAAACCCATTTATAAAGTTAGTGGGTCAGGGAGAGGTAGAATTCAAATTTGGAAAAAGAAAAATAGATATTAGGGCCCTTGTGATTTGAAGTTTGAAACCAGTAGAAATATTTCTTTTCAATTGGTTGCTCCTATAGATCTTGATCAATGTTTAATGCAACCTAAAAGCAAAATACAAAATAAATACATTTTACTACAATGAAAAAACACAAAGCAAAAAAAAAAAAAAAAATCAAGCTTAAACAATGTTTAGGTAATCCAAATAGCAGAAGTTTTTGGAGTTTCAGGTGATTTTGAAGAGTACCCAAGTACAGTATATAATTATAAATGATGTTCCCAAATGAAGTCTTAACCGGGCCTTTCTGAGAGGCACTCCCTTTCTGAAGCCACCTCCTACTGGGAACAGAAACCCTGCCCCACTAATTGTGAGCTCCAGCCCTGGCACCTCTTATTGGAATTCCTAGTGGTTCCTTCCTAGCTAGACCTCGGGCCTTCCTTCAGACATTCACTCTCCTCTCAATGCTGTGCTCCGTTTCCTACCTCATTTAACACACTTGCACTTGGTGATAGCATTTACATCTTCTGCATGGCCCTCCTTTCCCTCCCAGAACTATTCAATACATAAGTAGGTCTTGGTCATGTGCATATCTCATCATCACCTGAAATTCAACAGCTCCACAAATAAAGCTTCCCTGCTTAAAAAACAAACAAACAAACAAACAATCTACTTCCTTTCCTCATTTTCATCAACTCATCCAATAATACTTCGCACAGCTCAGGGGCTCTAGGTTTCATTCTCGGCTCCCTCTCCCCCATTTCTTGAGCAAAACTCAAGTCCAGTCTGGTCATACCTGTGCACCTTGGTCATCTTGCATGCAGATGACTGTAACTACCCCGAGTAATCTCCATTTTCATCGTCTGCTCCACTCTAACTCTCCACCAGGTAAAAATCCTTATATCATCCCAATAGCCCCCTCTGCTCCTAAGCAGACATGCACAACCCCCATGTGCTCTGCCTTTTCCACACCCTGCCTTTAACTCTTGCCACTCTCCCAGCTCTGTGAAGCCTAGCTGGGAAACTGGGCTATTTGATGGCCTCTGGCTCTGTCTAGTTCCACATGCCCTTGCTTGATCTCTTATAATCCCTTCCCAATGGCCCATGGGCTTAAAAGGAAAGAATTGTTTATTGGTTGTAGCTCCTTCTGTCTATCACAGAATCCTTCTAGCTCTGCTTTCTGAATAGCTCTGGAAAATACTTAGTTCATCTTTTCTTCTACTTCCAATAGCCACTATTAAATGTTGCTATTCCCAGTGGGTCCCTGACCCCAACTTGCAGGCCTTTCTCACACTACATACTCCACACCTTACTCCCTCCCTTAGCTCTTTTTTCCCCATTCATCTCCTCCACTCTAGCCACATACTCTTTCTAAAGTGTGGCTCTGACAACATGGAATGCTCCTGCTTGCAGGAAAATATCTGAGACCCTGTGCAGGAATTACAAGACTTTTCATGGTCTGGCCCCTGGTGTCTCCTGATGCGTGTATCACTCTGCTCGCTCCTACCTGGGTCTTCACCCTTCTTGTGTTTTCTACCTGGAATTCTTCCTCGGAATCCCTTTTGCCCACCATTGAGCAAGAGTCCCTGACTTCCTTCCAGAACTGTCCTCCCTAAGCTTCCTCCACTCTCCATGTCGCAATCTCCTAGTGCCCAGAGACGGAAGTAACAAGATATGCCTGTTCTAGTTTGCTTTCTTCCTGTTGCTGTGACAAACACTACAGCCAAGGCAACATGGTGAGAGGTGAGTATCTGGCTTCCACTCCCAGGTCACAATTCATCACTGGAGGAAGCTGGGCAAGAAATGAAGCAAATGCCACGGAGGACCACACCAGGCCAGCATCACTTACTGGTTCACCCCCTCACTTCCCCTATTTCCAAGCCCATAGCAGTCTGGGCTCTCAAGAAAATGCCTCCACAGACACACCCAAGGGCTAATCCGTTGGAGACAATTCAAATTCAATTCCAGGTATGTTAAGTTGACAACCAAGATTAGCCACCACAATGCCCTCCTGGAGGGGCAGTGCCCATACAGATCTGACTCAGTTATTCATCGCCTTTGTTTCAGTCAGAAACCACATTGGTATGGACTGTAGATTTTCGAATGATTCTCATGATGAGCTCCAAATGCTCTTCTGATTGTGTTTCTCCTCAAGACAGGAAACTCCACCAAGTGAAAACTGCCTTATTCCCCATTGCATTCTGCATTCGACAATGCCTAACACCGACATCACAATATGCTTGATAAATAAACATATGCGTTTACATACTATAAAAACACGTATTCATATTAAATTATTTATGTGTTTACAGAGTTTGCTCCCGAGAGCCAAAATGGATCTTTCCCTTTCAAATTTGATTGTGTACTTCACAAAATTATTTTACATGTGTATTTCTAAGAGGGTTTGATGTTTTAAAGACCTAACTGTAAAATATACAAACACAGATAATTAGATATAGATAGAAGCATAGACGGAAATAAAGCTATACATGTAAATAGACAGGGATATGCTAGTGACAGGTAGAGCACCAGTTAAGAATTTGGTTAATTGGGCTGGGGAAGTGGCTCAGCAGTTAAGAGCACTGGCTGGTCTAGAGGACCTGGATTTGAATCCCTTTATGGCATTTATATGGCACCTCATAACCTTCTCCAGTCTCAGGGGATCTGGCACCCTCTGCTGGCCTTCACTGGCATGGCATGTGTATGGCACAGACATACGTGCAGGTAAAACATCCACGAACACACAATAAAGGTTAAAAAGACAGAAGAATTTAGTTAGCACTTGCACTTGTGGTCTTCTTTGCATGGAGGAAAACTGCTATTATTTGCAAACTACTATCAATCTCATATATACTAGACTTTATCAACATGAAAAATAATCTGTTCTGGGATGACACATCCTGATACTTACATCAGATAGCATTGGCTCATCAAGCTCTTCCACTCTGCTCAAGTTAGGTGCGCCATACCGATCACTGATTTCTGCTAGGGTTTTGGCGTTGTCCATCGTTGATTCCTACAGTCACAAAATTCAGTTTCTACTTTTACATGTCTTCAAAATTAACATGTTCCTTTTCTTTGAATTTTAAAATAAAATTTCTGAATTGAGCACTCAGACTCAACAGTGTTAGTTAGTAGAATCTGCCAATGCCTGTTAACAGTAAGCGAATCTAGTAAGAAGCACTAAAAACTATTTTTAAATCTATTTGGAATTCCAAAATACATTAATTTGTAAGTAATTTTATGAACAATATAACAGGACATTGTAGCCTTAAAATATACCAGTATATACTGAATGTTGCAATTTTATTCACTCTGAGATTTGTTTCAAAGCACCACACACCTGTGACTTATCACTAGAATATCCATTTGAACTGTCACTTTTGTAAGGTTTTTGGTTTTGCTTTTGCTTTGTTAAGACTGGGTCTCTCTCACTATATAGCTTCAGGCATTCCTGGAATCACAACTTTCCAGCCTCAGGCACTGTGATCACATGTGTATGTCACCTTGCCCATCCTGGACCAGCAGTATTAACAGTACCCTTATTAAAACTTTAGCCACTGATTCCAAAAATAAGGATTCTATTCTAAGATACATATTCATTTCACATAAAACACTGTAGCTCTTCCTCACCAATGACTGCATGGACTCTTTACCCCTAGCACTGCTTTCATTGCTCATCATCTCCTAGACAAAGCTAAGAAAGCACTGAATATCGCTCATTTCTATGCCATGTTTGGTTTTAAAGTTGTTGGGTTTTGTTTTGTCTTGTTCTTATAAAGTTCTATGATCAGTTTAGCAGCAAAAGTAATGTCACTTTCCAAGGATTGGAAAGAACACAGTGCACACAAAACAATGGATCACAGATTAATTTATTACTATATACTAGGGAGATAACTGTTTATAACAAATAAAATTCTTTCAAAAAATGAGCTGACCAGAGGTGGAAGGTAAATCTCAATTGTTGAAGATACCATGCTTTTCGGACACACAGTCCTGAGCTAAAACGAACATCAGTGCCTCTTACCCTGAGGAGCAGATTTTATGATACCAGAAGGTACCATGAAAGCTTCCCAAGGAAAGAAGTCACCAACAGTCCTATGAACCACAATGACCAGCATGGCATAATAATCTTAAAGGGGCAATAGTGGTACACAAACTTTAGTGGTAACTAAGATCTCTCTAATTGAACTTAAGATCTAATCAACAAGAGGGCATCCTGCTTGGCCCTTAAAGGCTAGCTACCTGCCCAGGCTGAGTGAATCTGTGGATCTTAAAAGAGAACCTACAATCACCACTTTACTAAACCAACATAATTCCTAACTGCACTCTAAATATTTGTCCTTGTACCCATAGATAAACGTAGTCCTCATCTTAAAGAAACTCATTAAGGAAACTTTTCTTTGCAACTGACAGAGACTATTACAGAAAACTGCATTAAGTTAAATTTAGATTACATTAAAATTAAATTAAAATAAAACCTCATTAAATTAAAAAGCCGAGTTGTGGAACACAGTTCCAGTGAATACATCTACAAAATAACTCCTGCTCCTAAGTCTTTGGGGACGTGGAAGAGTGGGTGGTAGGATTGTAAGAACCAGAACATCAGGGAGTTTACTATGAGACTATGTCTCATTAAGTCTCACTAGCATAAACTACATAAACATGAACTGAACAAGGACAACAATAGACTTACCAAAGTGGACATGGAACAGCCCATGAGACCTTAACCCTACACAAAGAACCACAGCAACTAAGGAATGCTATGACTTTCCCTAGGGAAAAACACACTAATGGGTTATCCAATGCCAAATGATCAGCCCTGAAAAAATATACAATATCTACATTATACAGACAAAACAAGGTGCACATGGAATATGTATACATACACATATGCACATAACAACAATTAATGAAAAAAGAGCCAATGAATTTGAAAGATACAAAGAAAGGTATGGGGGAGGATTTGGTTGGAGAAATGGGTATAGAGAAATAATGTAATTACGTTATAATCCCAAAAATAAGAAAAATGATTAAAAAAGATACATTGGATAATTTTTTAAGACTTAATAAAAATACTATGAATTTTAAAAATGGGATGAAACATTAAAATTGAAGCAAAAGTTTTAGCAAGTATGAAAAGCAACAATATTAAATTAAGATTTTTATTTTCAAGACAGGGTTTCTCTGTGTAGCCATGGCTGTCCTTGACTCACTTTGTAGACTAGGCTGGCCTCAAACTCACAGAGATCCACCTGCCTCTGCCTCCTAGAGTGCTGGGATTACAGACAGCAGCTACTGTACCTGTCTAGAATAAGAGATTTTTAAACAGTGCATGAAGTTTAGTTTCATATACAGGAAGAAGTAGTGCATAGTTTTAAATTGATTAACCTTGTCCAAGCTACTGTCCAATGTCCAAGTGGTCTTCTTAGGTCCTTAGCAACACTTACACTCTACAGTGGAAATGTTTGCCCAACATGGAAGGCCACTTCTGAATGAGAAACTTTTCTTCTAATCAAGCCAACCTACTATGGCATCCATCATTTCATTACTATCACCTTGCAGCAAAGTCACATGACTCATACTGGGATGAGGCATTTTGGCAGTTGGAAGATTACTCATTTGTGACTATACATATGGCCACCCTAATTATAGAGATATATGTGGTACTATTTTGCAAAGATAATTCTATTTTTTCTAATAAGTTCTTTTATTTATGTTTGTTTTGTTTTGTTTTTGAGGCAGGATTTCTCTATGTAGTGCTGGCTGTACTAGAACTTGCAGAGATCCCTCTGCCTCTGCCTCCTGGGATCAAAGGTGTGGGCCATTATACCAGGCTTTTCTAGGAAGTTATTATCCTGCATCCACACTGTAGACCTAAGATGTTTAGATGCTTATAAGAGCATCAACCTCAACCATAAGAATGACTATTTGATAATAATTTTCTCCCCTGTTCTTTTAACTGAACCAGAAAATAAATACATTCCTCTGCAATGGTGGGAGCTTCAACACATGACTCTCCGGCACCCAATAAGATCCAGGTTCTTAATCTTTTGTCACACACCAGAGCACCAGGAGGGAGGCCAAAATAAAACATCAGAGAGCAGGGGAAACATTCCTGTGAGCTCTTGACTCCCAAGGGACTGAGGCAAACACCCCAGAGTCTAGCCCTTCTTCAACTCAGGATTCTTCACTACATTGACAGTTTACACTGTGTGTCTGTAGGGCCAGAGCAAGGCGCACAAAAACTACTCTGAGTAGTGAGTGAGACAGGGATACTTTCCAAGCTTGAGATGAGTGACATTAAGCCTATGTGGACACGAAATACTAATGCTGTGTTGTGGTGACTCTTGTTACACAGGCCTGACACCTGTAGATAAAAGTGTGACCCTCTGGTGTGTTAGTATGTTTGTGAGCTAATGCGCATACCTAGAAAATGACCCTGTTGCACAAGCTAAGGTTCAGCGTCTAGATGTTCAGCATCTCCTCTGTTTTATTCAATTCACCACCCTATGTGTTTTTAAAGAAATGTCCACCAGCACATGTTTTTAATCCCAGCACTCAGAAGGCCAAGGCAGGGTCTCGGAGTAGGAGGCCAGCCTGGTCTACAGAGCAAGTTCCAGAACAGCCAGGACTACACAGAGAAACCCTGTCCCAAACAAAACGTTTCAAATGAGATTTTTAATCATCTAATCCATTAATAAAGGTACCAAATACATTTGGTAAAAGTTGCTTCTGATTTCAGTTTTAATTATGGGTCCAGTAATAAGAGTTACAGTTGGGTAGGGAAGTGAGTAGACATAATAAACTCAATCAGAAGTCTGGCTAATGTGGCACAAATTTTTAGGATATCAGGAATTATTGGCTAAACTAGAGATTTCACTTTATGTACATATGACCAATAAAATGGGTTTTACAAAAACTAATTCACTTAATTGTTTATTTTCATAAGAGACCTGAAAACTCAACATGAGAACAGATTTTTTTAAATGTGAATGACTTCTTGGCAAATAATGAAGAAAGTGACATACTGTTATCTCACCCACCAGAATGCCTTCAAATCAGCCATCCTTAACAACAGCTGTCTCCTCACAAAACTGTTGACAGTGGCCCTCTCGAGACCTTTGTAGCTCATGAAGACACTCACGTGACTATACCCATCCCTGTGTGATGCCTATGGTTCTGTGCTGCAACCACTGTTGTGAAACAAGAGAGCAGACAGAAAGGCTGGGACTTGAAGTAGCAGAGCTGATAGGGAGCAGGGGTATGGGTTCTGCATCCTATAGTCTTTCTGCTGGCTTGGCTGAAAGAGACAGCCTGAAAAGTCCAGAAGCTTCTAACAAGCAGATACATAACAAAAACTTCAGATTACCTTATTTAGTTGTTCTTCCACAGCCTGGAGTTCTGTCTTCTGTTTCTCTTTTTCCTGCATTTCCAACTCCAGCTGAAATGCCAGCTGCTGCTGAGGAGTAGCAAGTATTGAAATTATAGGGCAGTTATGACAGATCAATAGCTAGACATTAGCTCTATCACTCCTTTTTGCTTGTTTTTTTAGACAGGTTTTACCTAGTCCAGGCTGGACTCTAACTCATAACATTCCGCTTGCCTCCACCTCTCTAATGCTGACATTACTGGAACTACCACATCTGCTTATATGTCACTTTTAAGTCCCCAACTTCACTCTTCCTGTATGCGCATGCCTGATTCTTATATTTCCTAAAGAAGATAGGAACAGTAGCTCAGAGTCTGCTTCGAACTTATGTCACAAGCTGTTACACCCACCTATTCCTAGGCCACCTGTTATTTGTTTCTGAGCTACAAAAAAAGAAGGGCTCTCATGGCAGTTTAGTGTCCAAGTGGGTTACATAGTAATGGGAAGAAGGACTGCCTCTGACATAATCTGATTGGCCTGCTCTTTGATCACCTCCCCCTGAGGGGGGAGCAGCCTTACCAGGCCACAGAAGACAACAGTGCAGCCACTCCTAATGAGATCTGATAGACTAACATCAGAAAGAAGGAGAGTGGGACCTCCCCATCAGTGGACTTGGGGAGGGGCATTTGTGAAGAAGGGGGAGGGAGGTTGGGACCTGGAGGGGAAGAGGGAGGGGTTTATGGGGGGATACAAAGTGAATAAAGTGTAATTAATAAAATAAAAAAAAGAAGGGCTCATCCACTTGTTTTCCAAACCCATTTCCTCTTATTACCATGGAGAGAAGTTTCTGGACCATCTTTATTTCTATTTGCTAATGTCACTCATGGTGCTCTATGTGTTCCTAACTCAAAATAGAACCCACTGCCCTTCCCCTCACAAGCCCCAGAAAAGCATTATGCTCACCCACTATCTCCCTCCTCACCTGTTGCACTTCACCCTATCCACTCTTCCTAGAGAGATCCTCTGGGCTTTGAATGAGCACCAGCTCAGCGGCAGTGCCTTTGACTACTATCCCCTTGGCTTCTGCCACAACTCACTCACAGTTCTCCTATTACCTCACGCTACTGCCTTTTCAGCAAAGAAAGATGAGAATACCAGAGAGCCACAGCTAAATGACCAGAGCTGGGCAGTATTTCAGGATGTGGGTTGCACCCGCACCAAGGGTGACACTGTTCACTTAGTAACATTTGGGCTCCTGTCACACCTGCTGAAACAAGAGTTCCTCTGCTTTGAGTCGCTCCAGCATTTCCTGCTCCATCATCGCTAATTCTCTCTCATGCTCCAAATCGATCATTTCTTTCTGTCTCTAGCAAATGGTAAAAAGCAACAGCACGCAACTTATTAGAGACCAAACAGTTTGTAAATGCAATCTTAGAAGAATCTCAATTACAAACATTAGAAAGGAGTTCAGGGAATCATACGAAAGAAGGGGGAGTTAGTAAGACCTGGAGAGGATGGGAGCACCACAAGAACCAAATATATCTGGGCCCAGGGGTCTTTTCTGGGACTGATTCTCCAAACAAGGACCATGAATGGATATAACCTAGAACCCCTGCTCAGACATAGCCCATGGCAGCTCAGCATACAGGTGGGTTTCCCTAGCAAGGGGAACAGTGACTGTCTTTGACATGAACTCAATGGTGGGCTCTTTGACCTCTCCCTCCCCCCACTGAATGAGGAGCAGCCCTGATGAGACCTGATAAACTAGGGCCAGATGGAAGGGGAGGAGGACCTCCCCTATCAGGGGACTTAGAGAGGAGCAAGGAGGAGATGAGTGGGGTTGGGAGGGAATGAGGGAGGGGGCTACAGCTGGGATACAAAGTAAATAACCTGTAATTAATATAAAAAATAAAAATTATAAAAATAAAAAAATAACAAAACAAACATTAGAAAGGGAGTTAAACAAATGGTGGGCTAGTCATTTGGAAACTATCCAAAAATTTGGGGGAGTTTTATGTTTCAGCTGAACAAAGAACACAGAATTGATATTATACACTAAATACAAAGAAAAAGAAAAAAAGAAAAACAAATCTACAAATATGTCAGGAAAGGCAACACAGAGAAAAGATATTTAAAATCAAAACAGAAGCTTTCTTTCAGTTTTCTTCCCTCTCTACTTTTACATATTGTCCAAAGTTTATATATAATATACATTTTTGTAATGGAAAAACAAGATTGAACATAAAAATATAGACATGATAAAACAACTGTCATGCTCTTCGAATTTCCTAAAGGGTGATCCATATTTACCTGTTCTTCCATGGTCACATTTTCCTTATACTTATACATCCACAAGGCTAAAAATTCGATTGGATCCACTGGGCGAACTCTTGCCACTTCTGCGAGACCTTGAGTTAGGCATGTCCCCAGGCACTTGTGAAGATATAGTGACTCCATTTCTAACTCCTAAACAAAAACCATCTACAAAAGCTTTTCATTAGAGTCAAAAGTGTTCAGATTGGGCACAGTTAAGAATAAAGTCAAGCCAGGTAGTGGTGGCGCACACCTTTAATCCCAGAAGTCTTGGCAGAGGCAGGCAGATCTCTGAGTTCAAGTCTAGTCTGGTCTACAGAAAAGCCTGGAAATCCAGGGATACACAGAGAAACCATCTCTTGAAAAAAACAAAACAAAATAGCAAAGTTAAGGGGGCTACCTAAACATTCCACCCTGTCACTGGTCCTGAGTGCTTCTCATTAGGGGTGACATAAGCAAGCTGGCCCCAGGAAACTTCAAATGGTCTCCAAGAGGACTCTGCAGTAGTCATAGCTAAAACAGCTTCTACATTCCAAAGGTTCTCAAGTTTAGTCCCAGAATCAGAACTGGACACTAGCATTATTTGTGGCATTGTGCCAAGTAATACCAGTGCCAGTTAATGCCCACAACTTCCCAGGCCATGGCAGCCAGGGAGCCAAATTGCTTACGTGAACGGCCAAGAGAAGCTGGCTGGCAGATGAGTGTAGGATTTGTACACGCTTCTTCACCTTAGGGCCTTAACTCTAGTGACTCCAAGATGCTTCTCCTATGCACTTCAATAAAACACCACAGACTCTCCATCTCTTCTTTTAAAGTATACATTGCCAAAACTAGAGAATACCAATTTAAATTCAAATAAATCGCATGAAGTTGCTCATAATCTTCCCATACATTTCCCTTTAAACTAACCTCAAGCTTCTCCCTGCCATCATATATCCTGGGCTCTTACTCCACCGAATATCATGCCATTCTACATATCACACACTGCACTTTCCCATCTTGATGAACCTTTCCTCCCTCCATACCTTGTCATCTTCAAGGCCAAGAACATTTCTGGCTCTCAGAGTTTTGTCAGCTCGTACAACGGGGTTCCTCCTGCTTCAAATAGCTCATGCAGCCCTTGTCATGCTGCCTGAGATGTATGTGTGTTTGTGTGTGTGCACTTGCATGCCAGCGAGTATGTGCATGCATTTAAGAAACAGGCTCCTTCCTCTAGGTCCCCAGGGAGTACTCTGATCACAGGCCGGACACCACTGTCTCTCCATAACCACAAGTGAGCAAGTTTACGCCCACTCCCAGTGGTTTCCCAGTCTCTTTAAATATGAAGACTGCTGCTTGCTTGGCTTTTTCTGGGTTGACTATTTCTATTTACCCAACATAGGATGTGCATATGGACAATAACAGACCAAACAAATGATTCCACCCAAGCTCAGAATTGTAACACAATGAGTTTTGTGGGGTTGCCCACAGAAGCTAGGATGAGATCATATATCCCAGTGGGAAGGCTGCTGATATTTTTTCATTAAACATATGTGATGGATGTGTCTGTTGGTTGCCTTCTGAGCATTTGCATTTGTACCTACAGAATATCTCTATGACTTCATATGGCATGGAGATGAGTAGAGAAGATGAATACTAATGACAAATCAGTAAATGCAAGATTAAAACTAAAATATGTTCTGAAGGGCAGACAACAGATCTGTCAAGCCAGGAAAGAAAAAAAAAAATCTGTGAGGAAGTTGATATTTTAATTAAGCTCAAGTTTGCTGATGAAGCAGTGAAATTCACAAGACAAGAGAGGAAGAAGAAAAAGAGAAAGAACAACTCTGGCAGCCAGCAGCCAGAGGAAGCAGGGTGCCAGTGTCTCAAGACTTGCCTCTGGACCAACACACTTAACATTTTGCATAAACTTTCAGACACATTTGCCTTTGTAGACACCAACCTGGCCTGCAATGGTGATGGGAGAGCAAAATTGGCATTGATGAGGGTGATTTGGCAATGTCTAGACGTATCAGAGTATGTTCACCATTGCAGTTCTTGAATCCTATCTCAAAGGTGCAGACACACAACCATGAAATGGCATGTGAACACAGATGGCATTAGCACTGTTATTACCTTAGATTAGAATACCATCTGAATCTCCAGGCAGAGGGTCAATTAGGTACAGTTCCAGGAAATCTGGTGACAATATAAAGAAATGGAGATGGTCTCTAAATAGGTTCCCTAGTGACTCATAGGAGGGGAAGGATATTGTAGAAATTGATTCTGCCACCAAAGGAATGTAAGTGTGTGCGCATAAGTGTAGCCCAAGAACTGACTAACGCTGGCACAGATGAGCTGATTTCCTACCAAGTTGTCATTGGTGTCCTAAGCACATAGCGAAAAACATTATGGCAACTGACTGGGCTGTGTCTCCATTGTGCTTCTTCAGGGGGAAATCCTCTAAAGATAAGACAGACATCTCAATGTTGTTTTACGTTCTGTTACACAAAACATGGAATATACTCCTGCTGCTGCTTCAGAATCATGGGACCTGGGAGAGGGACAGTGGTGGTCAAGGGGAAACCTCTGAAGTTGGTCAGGATCTGTCTGTCTGTGGCTTCTGGCAGCTGCTTAGCAGTCTCAGAGGGGTTTGCATGAGTTCCCCCTGTCATCAATGTAATATCCATTTCCTGACCATGTGAAGGAAATAATAGCCATCTCTTCTGCCCTAAGAAATGTCTTTCCCAAGAAACACCAGCACGCGTCCAGCTCCACTGCAGAAAGTCCATTCCCACAGAAATGCCTGCCTCCAGCCTGGAGCAGCTGCTATGAGCCACTGAAAGGAGTTCTCTGCCAGGGCCTGGGGTAGAGGGGACCTGGATTCGGCACTTAAAACTACAGCAGGCCCAGTTCAATTTGGATTTCTGAGAAACACTGAATAATTGTCTTATACTATATTTGTGCTAGAAAGTAATCCCTTTTATCTGAAAATATAATTCAGTCAGGCAGCCACCAACCTACTGGCGGTGGCTATAGCTTGGGAAAGGAGGGGAGGAGGAAAAGGAAGAGGAGGGGCAGAAAGAAAGGAAGGAGGAGGAGTCACCCAGGCCCACCGTCTTACTCCCGGAATTAACTCTCGCTCAGCCTTCGGGTTGAGACCTACATGACTCCTGAGGTATGATTTTTTTTGAGAACTGCTTCTTCAGAGACAACACTAAAGGATCGTTTCGAGGGAAAACGCTCCAGCCTACTTGGTGCAAGCAACTGATGCACGTTCTGGCCACCTGCCAGTGAGTCGCGTCCCGTTGCCCGGCAACGAGTGCACGCTCAAGGGTAGAGCTAAGGTTCCATCCCCTACCGCTGCAGAGGAAGTAAAAGGAAATTAAAGGGGAATTCGCGCGCGATGGGAGAGGACACACACTATAGGGGAGGGGGCACATAGATGGGCGAACTAGAATTAAAAGAGTAGAAGCACATTGGAGGAACATCAGGACAGAGCAATGGAAACTGGTAGGCACCCAAAGACAGAGGGGCAGGGACCCTTAGATAGGAACCCTGAGGACCAGCAAGGCTATGAGTGTCAGAAGAGACTCCTTTGATCCAAGGGCATCAAAACTGCAGTCTAGATGGCTTGGTAATTTTAAAACTCCACACTTTTCAGAGCCATCTCAAACGCAAGCAAGTAGGTTGCCCAAAGACACCTTCCATCCGGTTCTAGTATGCACTGTCCCCTTTCTGTTCTTGCTTACTTTTTGTCGCCATGACACAAACCTAAATATACCCCGAGAAGAGGGAATCTCAAATAATGAATTGCCTCCATCAGACTGACTTGCGGGCATATCTGTGAGGCGTTTTCTTGATTGCTAATTATGGGCATATGATCACTAATGAGCAGTGCCCATCTGTGTTAGAAAGGTAGCCCAATCAGTCCGGGGAAGCAAGCCAGTAAGCAGCATTTTCCTGGTGGTTACTGCTGCAAGCTCTACCTTGGCTTCCCTTGATGATAGACTGACACTAACCTTTTCTCCCCCAATTTGCATTTCGTCGTGGTGTTTATCACAGTAACAAAGAGCAAACTAGGACGTTTGCACCGGTGATGTGTGCACTGTGTTGGGGGTTGGAGGCAGGATGTTCCCATGTTCTCTTCCAACTAATGTGGCAAGACATTGCTCAGTGGTCGAGTTTTCCATAAATGTAAGAAGGGACGACGAAACCTTTCCTTTAGTCCCCCAGCCTTAGAGCCTTCAGACATATTTACTGAGTGCTAGGTGTGTGCCAGATACCAGGGAGAGTATCCTCATAGAACTTGTCACGTTTAAGCAGTGTGGCAGCCACTCAATGGCCCAGGAATGGAGAGGTGCCCTGGGAATGTAGTCACTGATTCTGCGCTGGGGTTCTGCAGGTATAGAGGCATAGATCAGGGGATAGGGGTTGCATTGGGGATTTTGTCAAGACACACATACGTTGAATCAGAGATGTTGGAAGTTGCATTTTACCAAGCCTGTCAACAACTAGTAATCAGGCCACATAGAGCAGCAGGCGGGGGGTGGGGGAGGGAGCCTATCTATCTCTATCTGCAAACTGGCACAAAAAGAGGATGACCTGCCCCAGGCCCCCAGCCTCCACACTTACCCCAAACTTTGGGTTTAAACACCAGCGTATATATACAGGGCTAACCCTTCTGGATGTTCTTCTTCCTTGTCTTCTGGCTTCTAGAAGCTGTCTTTGACGCATGATCTTGAGAATTCTGCTGCTTCTTTCCTTTCTTTGTCTTGTCACTGTGCCTTTCTCCGTGGATCTTACTGACAACCCTGGAAATTACAGCTGCTCCTGTATGGTGCTTTTAGTGAGAATGGTTCCATAGGCTCACATATTTGAATGCTTGGTTCCCATTTGCTGTAACTATTTTGAAAGAACTAGGGGATGTGGCCTTGTTGGATATGTGTGCCACTGGGGGTAGTTTTGAGGCTTCAAAAGCCATAGCAGGCCCAGTCTGTCTGTCCTGCCTCTGACTTGCAGAAAAGATGTAAGCCCTTTTTAAATATATATATATTTATATATTTATATAAATATTTATATATTTATATATATTATTTATATACTACTCTGTCTGAATGTATGCATATAAACCAGAAGAGGGTACTAGAGCTCATTACAGATGGTTGTGAGCCACCACGTGTTGCTGGGAATTGAACTCAGAACCTTAGTGTTCTTAACGTCTGAGCCATCTCTCCAGCCCAAGATGTAAGCTCTTAGCTACTAATCCAGCACCTGCCTGCTGCCATGTCCCTTGCCCCCAAGATGGTCGTGACTCACGCTCTGAAACTGTAGAGCTACTAATTAAATGCTTTCGTTTCTGTTGTTGTTGGGTATTTTTGTTTTTCGAGACAGGGTTTCTTCTATATAGTCTTGGCTGTCCTGGGCTCACAGTTCTAAACACTTCCTTTTATAAGTTGTCTTAATCATAGTATCTCTTCATATCAATAGAAGAGTAACTAAGATGGTCTGCTTTATAATGCACTCCCTATTTCAAGATTCTTAATCACAACTGCAAAGTTCCTTTTATCATATAAAGTCGCATTCACAGGGTCCAGGTTTGAGAATATGGGCACCTTTGGGAGAAAGACTGTAGTACTGAAACAACATTCAATATGACTCCTATGTCTACAAACATTTTACTTGTTAGAGTCTTTTTACTTTGGGGTGTAATAAATTGTCTCTTAGACTTTCTTTGCCCCTGGAACCAACCTTTTCGTTAAGGATCTCTGATCCCTTAAGTAAAGAACAATATTTAATTCCCATTTGAAGCAGGGTTTGGTGGAGCACACCTCTCATCCATCACTGGAAAGGCTTTGGTGGGAAGAAGCACAAGTTCAAAACCACCCTGGGCTACCTAGGAAGTTGCAGGCTAGCCTATGCATAGTAAGACTGACTCAATAGATAGATAGATAGATAGATAGATAGATAGATAGATAGATAGATAGATAGATAGATAGATACAGAGATACAGAGATACAGAGATACAGAGATACAGAGATACAGAGATAGACAAACAGACTGACAGATACAAGTATGTTCATGGTACACACTGCTTCTAGAATGTTTGATTTTCTAGACTCTGATAGTGATAAAGGGAAGAATGTGTATGCTTTGTATACCAATATGTTTATTTATCCATCCTTAAGCTGAAAAAAATGGGAATATGGAGGCTAGGTGCTACGGACATCTGCTCACAAAATCTTGTTCCATAATAGCTCATTTTATTAAATTCTTGCCATGTGCCATATGGGGTGCCTTTTGTGTGATTAGTTGCCCAATTTTCCCTTTTTAGTACAAGAGGTGCGTACTTTATTTCTGTTTTCCAAAGACATCAAGACTCTCACACCAAACAACTTGCTGAAGAGCGCAAGCTGTAAGATGCAAGATTCAGACCAGGTGTGGTCTGTCTGATGCAGGTGTCTGTGCTGCTGTAGCTCTGTCTGGTTCACTGCCATTCCTAATATGGCATTCTGTGTCAGGCTGTGTTTTCTGCCACTCTTGATACCTATTAGGAAATCTAAAGTGATGCTGTGAGATAGCATGTCAGCAGTGGCTTAACAAGCCCATCATTTTCTTCCCCTCTCTCCCTGTGAAGTGAATGAGCCTCTGTTGTGTATGTCATAGACTAGCTTCCAACCTCACAATGGCACAGCCTGCTATGTACCCAGAGTTTCTCTCCAGGACCTTATTTTCTCTGTGCTTAGGAGTACATATGTGTGTGTTAGTTGAAATCCTTCACCTCCCTTAACTGATAATGTGCCAGGCCCTCTCAAGACTGCTGATCACTGGGACTCACAGCCTGACACAGTCCAGCTGAAAGCCTTAGGAAAGAAGCCTGCTTGAATATAACAGCTGTTGGCAAGTGTGATTTGCTTAATTCTTCTAAGAAGGTAGAAGAAAATTCTTCTACCTTCTAAGAAAGGTAGTGGTATGATTTGGGTCTTAAATGACCACCAAAAGCCACATGCTAAAGGCTTGGTTGCCAATCTGTAGTGTTAGAGCTGAATGAAACTCCAATTACTCAAACTCCAAAAGACAGCCCAAATATCCAGAAATGGTCTCCTCATGGACTATCGGAGGATTTCTGGTGGTTAGATAAAAGCCAGCATTTCTCAGGAACTTGTGAAGCCAAAGCCAATTCTCCTCTACCACAAGAAGTCATCTCCCTTATCACTGGCAGAATGTGGTACCTCTTAGCATACCAAAGTGTATTCTGGCCAGCAGGCTTTCTCAGTATAATAACCTGTTTCAAAGTTCACATTAGCATCCTAGCTTTCCTTGCTTTCTCTCCTACCCTAAACACCCTCCATCATGGGCTCCCTCCCCCCAGCTACTCATTCTTCTTATAACCGGCAGTTTCATTATGCTTTTCCCCACAATGTCCTCCCACTCCCCTGCTCTGCTCCTGATTCTATCCTGGCCAGGTCCAGTCTGTAAGCCATGATCAGTCTCTTTCTTTCTGTCTCTCCCCTACCTCTCTGTTCCAGACTCTTCCAGATGCCTCTGACTATGCCTAACTCATATTTATAATAAAAACTGCTTGCTGGATGTGATGATGCATGCCTGTAATCCCAGCTCTGAGGGAGGCAGAGGTAAGAGGATCTACTATGGAGTTTGAGGCCAGTTTGGTCAGCCTAGAATACAAACTGAGTGCAGGACAGCCAAGGCAACACAGAGAAACCCTGTCTCCAAAAACCAAAAGCCAAAGCCAACCATACGTGGATCAGTCATATCATCAGTTTGTACATGCAGCATTGTCAGAGGCTGTTGGAATCGTTAATGGGTAGGACCTTCTGGAGGAAGATGTGTCGCTAGGAGAACTTCAGCAGTGTGACCCCTTATTCTTTTTCTCCTTACTTTCATGAGGTGAGCAGCTTCGTTCTTATGTTTGCTCCCTGCCCTGAGGTTCTCTCTGCCTTTCCGCAGGCCCAAAACCAATGAAGCCAGGTGGTTATGACCTGAAACATCTGTTTCTCAGAGATACCACAGGATGAGCAAATTGCTTTCCCCACCTTTAACAATAGTCTAGTCTGACCACAAAATGTACTAATCCTTTTCTCACCTTTAACAATAGCTGAATCTGCACATATCAGAAAAAACAGACATACCCCAGATATCTAGCTGACCAGACCTGGTGCCCACAATAGACCCTATATCCGCTCCCATGATGTCAGACCCCTCATCTACCCCTTTAAAAACTGGAGGCTACTGAGAGTCAGAGCTGACTCTAGCCTAAATGTAGAGTTAGCTGCAGCATGCTGGTATAAATAAAAACCTCTTGCTAATTGCATTGATTGCGGCCTCTGAGTTTCCTTCACAGCAAGCCTCTTTGATAATTAGACCCCTTGGTGGGCCTAACAGTCCTATTTCTCCTTTTTCTAGTTTACTCCTTTAGAAATTTCCTCTGTGCAGCTGTCTCTACCTTTTCCCCTTCCTCCTCCTTCTCTTGTTCTTTGTGTAGTATTAAGAACTAAACCCAGGGCATTGTGTGTGCTAGACAAATGTTCTACCACTGATTTATACCCTGGAGAATGTTTCACTTTGAAACAGTCTTACTAAGATGCCAAGGGACTTGAACTTGGTCTGACACCCAGGAAGGCCTTGAACTTTTGACCCTCTTGCCCTAGGCTCCTAAGTAACTGGAATTTTAGTTCTTCATCATCAGGCTTGACCTCCATTGTTTCTTAAAAATAAGTATTAAGTATTGCTCTTTTGACTTGTTTTTGTTTGTTTTGTGGCAGTTTCCCACGATGTTGTTCAATCAGGCTTCAAATTCTTTTTTTAATAAAATATTATTTATTTATTGACAATTTTACATCTAATCAATGCATTTTGATCATATACAGCCCAAATTCCCCTTCCCATTCTTCCCATGCTCCTCCAGCACAACCCTCTCCTCTCTTGCACTGTTTGATTAATAGAGCATTAAGTCGAACTAGTGCTCCCTGTTTAGATGTTGACTGACTGTATTGATTTGATCTTGTGCAGGTAGCTATATCTGTAGTAAGTTCAAGCCATGTTATAAAGTGTAGACAGCATTTTACATCACTCATCTCCACCCTCCAGCTCTTACATTTTTTTTTTCCATCCCTCTTCTATGATAGTCCTTGAACCTTGGGATGGGAATTGATTCAGATGTCCCATTTAGAGTTGAACACTCAGTAGATACTTATTCTTAGCACTTGGACCAGCTATGAGCCTGTATAAACCACTGCCCATTTCAGGGAGAAGCTTTTCTGCTGCCTCTATTTCTTGATTCTCTTGCCTTAGCTTCCCAAGGGCCAGGATTACAGACATGTGCCCCCTTACTCACTTCTTTTCATTTCTACAGAGGCTCATAGTTTGGAGTTTTCCCTGAGTTTCAGAGGAGACTTAGGACTTGGACTTTTGAGCAGGTCTGGGACTATTAAAGACTGGACTATTAAAGACTTCAGTGCTGAGCACAGTTGCACATGCCTGTAGTCCTATCACTTAAAAGACTGAGGCAAGAGAATGGCAAGTTAAAGGCCAGCTTGGGCCACATTACAAAACCTTTCTCAAAAACAAAACTTAAAGCTGTGTTTAGCGCACACCTTTAATCCCAGCACTCAGGAGACAGAGGCAGGTGGATCTCTGAGTTCAAGGCCTGCCTGGTCTACAGAGTGAGTTCCAGGACAGTCAGGGCTACAGAGAAACAAACAAACAAACAAACAAACAAGTTAACGCAAAATAATTCAGAGACTCTTGAAGATATACTGACTCTATATATTTTTATTGTGAAGTAACAACTCAATTTTGGGAGCCAGGAGCAGAATATTATACTTCAGATTTTAAACATTTCCCCCAAAGCGTCATATGCTGAAGGCTTGTTTGTGGGGCTGTGTCAATACTGGGAAATGGCAGGGTCTGTAAGAGGTGGAAGCTAGTGGGATGAAGTTAAGTCATTGGAGTCACAACTTTTGAGAGGACTCTCTCTCTCCCCCTCCTGTGGGGGATGGGAGTGTGTGTTCCCCCTCTTTTCCCCCTTTTTTCTTTCCATCTCCTTCCTAAAATGGGCCACTCTTGGTGACCATACACTCTCTCTGACAATGTTTGGCCTCATTATAGGCCCAGAGTGCTGGTACCAAATGACCATAGAGTCAAACCCTTGATGATGAAAATACTTCTTGATCTCAAGTATTTTGTCATAGTAATAGAAAACTAACATAAATGTGATCCAGAAATAACTCTTATTTGTCCTGGAACAAATTTTAACTTGTTAGAAAGGATCTGTTTTAAAAGTTAGATTGCATTGTAAAACTGAGTATCTGATTTGGTGTTTCCTAGGTTTGGAACATGGATTCTGCCTACCTGAAGGAGTGCTTTGGAAACAGCCTGACCCAGGCACTGGCAGAGGTGGCAAGAGTTCGGCCCAATGACCCAATAGAATACCTGGCATACTGGCTTTACCATTACAGAGATGTAACTAAAGCTAAAGAAAAGGTGTGTTTGTATACTGGGCCTGCTTAGGGAGGGTGCAGTTTGATCAGAACACTTTGAAATCCAAGGCAGAGTCCTGAGCTAGCCTGGAGAGTTTTTGGCTCATCTACGTTAGGAGGCTTGCTTAGTCCCAGATATCTCTTTAAGTATGAGGACTCTGAGGGATAAGGAGGGGCTTTAGCTCAGCAGGTTATAGAATTGTTTTGCAGCTACTGGCTAGCTAATACTTGTGATAGGAAGTTCAGTGGGCCTGGGGGGGAGGGGGGCAGGCCTATCTCAGATGGGGGTGGGGTGGGGATTCCTGTCTAAGAGATGTGACCTGATTTGTCTCTGTCATATTACCCCAGAAAAGGCAAGAGGAGCTACAGCTTAAGGAGGAGCATGACAGAAGTCTCGAGGAAGCAAAAATGACGGAAGAGCTGAAAAAAGAGCAATATCAGATTCAACAGATGTGTGAAAAGTGTCACCAGGTAGGAAGGAAGAATGGAAAATTCAGCTCAGCCACTCCTGGCAGGGTTTTCAATAAATCCTCAAGGTACAGGCAAAAGCACACCAAAGTTACCCTTTGGCCTGTGCATCCCTCACAGCCATATATTAGCCATGAGGCATTGACATCTTGTCTATAAAATCCTTGGCAATAGAAAAATTAAATGTAAAAAGGCACATTTATTTTAGATTTCAGAAAATGTCATTAATATGATTGGCTTTAAAAACTAGATTTAAAATATGTTTTCATGCAAGTTCTTTGGAGCCCTTTAAGAATATTATTACAATTTTTTCAGAAACTGAATATAATTCTCAGCGCATATATTAAATATAATATTCTATTTAGCATTTTATCTTTACACTATGATTATGTGTCAAGCATCAGGTATGCCCTCTGTGATGTAATACAGACAGACATCAGTTACCAACTCCAAACAACTCTGCCTTCCTCCATTTGGCAAGCAGAACTTGAGGCTCCCACAGTATTTTCTACAAACTCCTAAAAGTTGTGCCATTTTACACAGTACCTGGTTAGAGAATTCTCTCAACTGTAGTATTGGGATTGACACCAGACATCTGTGTGTGTGTGTGTGTGTGTGTGTGTGTGTGTGTGTGTGTGTGTGT